TTAACTGTCACGCACGTCTACGTCTGTACAGACACCTGGAAGTTTTAACAGGAAAATTGCTAACTCGGGAACGAGAAAAACTAGAAATTTGAAAATTTAGGGCAGTGTCCCCTACTCATGTACGACCAAAAGATTTCAAATTCAGCTCTTCTCGTGGGGTGTTTTTGGTGCACGAGCAAATTTCCATTAGTGAAGTTACTGAAGCCGACATCTACAACTGACACAACACATAGCTGCACAATTAACTTCCTGAACTTCGACGGCCAGTATGTCACAAATTCTAGCTATATGATTCCTTGTGATCTTGCTACAGCACAAAATAGCGCAAAAACACATTGTCGCATTGGCGTGCCTGGTGCGTTCCAGCCTCAGTTTTCCCAGCAAGTCATGTGTTTCACTTGTCACCTCAAAAGAGGCAGTTAGGCCGAATGTGCGGTGCTTTTTTTAAAGCAAAAGCTGAAAAATAAATTGGCATTGATCTTTTCAGCCATATTTGGTAGGCCCAATTGGTCCTCGAAGTCAAGCACTACTCCATCCATCTATCGTTCGTACAAATTCGACACGTATCGTGAAAGATGAGGTACACGTGATTATGGAATATAAACAGGGTGAAATACTTGGTGAATATGTTGCACCTGCTTCGTCACGTTTCATCACTTCGCATGACCAGTACAGGTTTGTTGCCTCTCGAGTTTACATAAAATTTTCTACAGATAAATTTTACAAATGCAAAAAATTACTAAAATAAACAAATTTTTGCAACAGGGGCCTTATAGCTTTTCCCCTCCTTTTTCCCCCTTCCCTCTGCTAATAATAAGCTACTGTTTCAGCGGAAGTGCCGTTGTGATTGAAATGTTTTTCAAAGCAATAGCTCAGTTTAATCCGGATCTCATCATTCTCACCGGCGTCCATCTTCTCCAGAATCAGGTAATCGAACTTGTTTGGATATAGGGGGGTTTTTTTTAAATTTCGAATTCGTTTAAAGCAATGTTAGTCTAATTGCACTTTTTTTTAAATTTGTGTCCCATCAATAAGTTAATTCTTAAAATTTTCTATTTTTTTTTTGTTTTGTAAAATGTAACAGTCAGTATGGGCGTCAAAAAAAGCTTATTTCTTGCAGAATAAAGAGATGCGAATGGAAAAACTTCGTTTGATAAAGCGAAATTTATTACAAGTAAACAGAAATATTCCAGTACATCTTGAACTTGGAAGTATGGGTAACGATGATCATGTTGCTGAAGTTTTGCAAAGAGTATGTTTTGCCTTTTTTAGATTTTATAAAAGTCCTCAATATTTTTGGATTTATCATTTTTAGTTTAAACCATAATCCTTTTTTATGTATCAGTTGTCTTCGAATTCCTATATTCCTTCAAAACATTCCTCTCCTGGTATTATTATTTGATTTCTGAGATTTCTTGCGTTTGAGATTTCAGACACTCTGCATGTCTTTTCATCAAGTCTTAGTACTTAGTGGGTATTTCGTAAAAGTTTTCGCTACTAATATTGCTCCGAAGTTAATGCTGCTGGAAGAACCTACGTT